TGCAGGAGCTGCTGCCCGACGGCCAGAAGACCTGGGGCGACAAGCAGAGTCCGAGTCTAACCCAACTGCGCGGCCGTGCCCCGTGAGGTGTGACTCCAGGCCACCTCTCCGAAGCTGCGATGCAGAGACAAAAGCAGCTCCTCACGGGTTGCTAAATCATATGACAGACTTTCCTACAAAACAACTAACGTGGACATCATGGACATCGGCAGGCAGCGGGCACTTGACGGACGCCAGCCCTGGTTACCATCATCTCCTCACCGTTACTCACGCTCCTGAGTTAACAGAAATACATGTAATTTATTGCCTCTAATTTCCGTGATACCATCAGAGGGTAGGTAGAAGAATTTTGGAACTCGAGAAACGAAGGTGTGTTTGGCACATCCTTTACCTGCCTGATGAAAGACTTCCTGCTGTGGCAGTGATTGATTTCTTGGTCCTGGGAGGCCAGGCGGGGGGAGGCCAGGCTGAGCACACAGTAGTAAGGACGGCACATGGCAAACCCCAAACCCACGCTGGCGAGGACAAAAGGGATGACAGGAGACAGCAGCGCACTGCGGTCATGGGACGAAAGTGCTTGTCACCAAAGAGAAGGCCAAAAGGGAAGGGACAACAGCGGGAGTTGACAACGTCAGCTCTTTGGCTGGGCTTCTCCCTTCTACAGACACTGAGTTTTCAGAGCAGATACATAATTCACGAGCATCTGGAATTCTCAGAGGCCTCAATTACTAATGACTGGTGTGACAATGACTGGTTTTCTTAAATAGACACTCAGGTAATCTGAATATATAACATGCCTTTCTTCCTTTTTGGAGGAGGCCACACCCAGTGGCGCTTGGGCTACTCCTGGCAGGCCTCTGGGAGAATATGAACACCAGAGTGACCAGAGACCAGCCCTGAGCCCCCAACCCACTGTACCATTATTCTGACTCCTCTTTTCTTCTTAAAACTTAAGGTAGAAGAAAATAGACCTGAGATGAACTTCAGCTCTAATCTCCCAGAATCCCTTCTCATTACTATACCAGTTGTTTCATGGCAATATGAAAGCTTTCATTTCAGCATTGAGTGGTACGTGTATTTCTTAATTACTCAAAAGCTAAATAGAAAAGGATATATTTAGATGTCCCTGATAGTATTTCTTATAACTCCTAATACTGAAAGGGAGATTTCAGAAATGTCTACATTTTTCAGAAAGAAGAAATTATTCTTTTAAGAGACTACGTAACTTTTTAATATGTTCTGGAAAACTAAATAGTCAATAGGTTCCTGTTTAGAAAATTTAATAGAGACATCCTGTCGAGGATGTTATGTTAGTGAGCCTCAATACCCTTCTGTAATTTTTCCTAAAGTGGCAGGACTTCATACCCACTGTCACTGTCACTGTCATACCCACAAAAAAAAAAAAAGAAAATTTATCTTCAAAAGAAAGACAGAACAGCATCATTTCCAACACAGAAAGAGGTGTCATGGTTCCCTAACTTCAAACCATGTGATAAAGATGCAGTAATAAAGGCACTATGGTTGGGGCCAGAAAGATCATACCGAGGGTGGGTGCCTGCCTTGCATGCAGCTGCCTAGGCTCAATCCCCAGCAGCCTGTATAGTCCCTTGAGCCTTCCAGGAATGATCCCTGAATGCAGAGCTAAGAATAAACCCCGAATGCCACCTGCTGTGCCTACACACACACACACACACACACACACACACACACACACACCAAACAAAGACAACAACAAAATAGAACAGTATGATATTAGAATCCAAACAGATACACTGATCAAAGGAACAAAATTAGAAGTCTCAGCAATTAACTCATACACATAGAGAGGGCTGGAGCGATAGCACAGCGGTAGGGCGTTTGCCTTGCATGCAGCCAACATGGCTGACTCGAGTTCAATTCCTCCACCCCTCTCGGAGAGCCCAGCAAGCTACCGAGACCATCTCGCCCGCACGGCAGAGCCTGGCAAGCTACCCGTGGCGTACTCGATATGCCAAACACAGTAACAACAAGTCTCATGATGGAGATGTTACTGGGCCCACTCGAGCAAATCGATGAACAATGGGAGGACCGTGACCATGTCCGTGACATAGAGAGAACTAATCATAAGAGAAAGGAGCAAAGAGCATACACTGGAGAGAAGAATTCTCAATAAATGGTGCTGGGGAAATGAAGCTACATGCAGTAGAATGAAGCAACCTCTATCTTATACCGTACACAGTAATTAACTCAAGAGAGATGACAGACTTGTGATGTGTGACCCACATGATGGAAGCAGCTGACACAGATGGCAAACTCACTGACACTAGTCTCAGTGTTGCCCTTGGTATTCAACTCCAACAGTAAGAGGAAAGAACGGATCGTGAACAGATGGCTCTTCGTCAACTTCACAGCTCTGCACGGTGAAGGGAGACCAGTTTCACCTGAGAAGGTGGCCCAGGAAGAGAAAACTCTCACAAATATGTTAGAGCAGGAGTCAGTGCCCAGTACTCAAACATACAACCCAGCACAAAAACAGGCAACCTTATTCCCAAATAGGATCTCACAAGGCACTTCACCAAAAAGACACACAGGAGGCTCTCTCTCTCTCTCTCTCTCTCTCTCTCTCTCTGTCTCTCTCTCTCTCTCTCTCTCTCTCTCTCTCTCTCTCACACACACACACACACACACACACACAAGGTTCTACATCACTCCCCATCAAGGAAATGCAAGTCACAGCCACATTCAGATTTTTCTCTCACGCTTTAACCAGTGACAATCAGAAAGTCAGGAAAGAGAGCCGTGCCAAGAGAGCGAGAGGGTGGGCAGGAAACCATGTGGGAATCTGTGCAGACGTGATGGAAAAGGGGATGAGGTTCCTTGAACCATTAGCAATAAAGCCAGCGGAAGATCTAATAACCCCACTCCTGGGCATTCACCCAAAGAATAGGGAATACCTGTTGGAACACACCCATGCACTCTGCCCTCACTGCAGCACTGTTTACAACAGGCCAGATTTAGAAATAACCCAGGAACCCACAGCTGATGCATAAAAAAAAAAAGAGGCGGCCTGAGGGAACGTTCTCAGATGCTGAAGGAATAAACAAGGAGAGCCTGCCGCCTGCATCCAGGGCCGGGCCAGGAGGAGGGTAAATCAGGTCAGATGGAAGAAAACAAAGAAAACAAAGAAATCATTCCCTCCCTGGTGGAGTTTAAAGAAATGAAGCATTTGAACAAAGCAGAAATAAAAACGAAGCCTTAGACTCTGATCATGGAAAGGGGGTTACGGGAGGAGAAGAGGTGGAGGGGAACAGGAAGAGGGCGGGCTGGTGTCGGGTGGCAGGACATTTGTCCTGGCGATAACACAGTTGCAGAGGCGAGAAACCCTACACGCACTCTACAGTGCTGCAGACCAGTCACCTCCAAAGGAACCGTGCCAGGCTGGGGACGGGAGCCCGAGAACCATCTCAGTGTGACTGCGGGGAACGGGGCCCAATGCCTGAGATGCTTCCCACTGCACCCTGACCAGTACGGCCTTCCCTCCGGCTGCCCCTGACACCGAGTCTCCCGTGGTCTCACCACAGTCTCGCCTCTCCACACAGTGAGTAGTTCCTCCTCCCGAAGATTGGAAGGACTTGGACTGCCTCACAGACCAATAAGCCACTCATAAGGACAAATTCCCTGGACACTGCCCATCTCAGCTCTCCACTGTCCCTCGCGTGGCACTGGGTGAACTCCACTCCCTGGGACTGACATGGGCCAGACAGTGAGGACCACGCGTGGCCACCCTCTGACGTCATCTGGAGGGAGACGTCTTTCTGCCGTGTGACAGCAGGAGCAAATCACATTCCCTGAGTTACTGGCTCTGAGCCCTCCTCACTGCCGTAGGAAACGCATTTGGCACAACTCGTATTGTTTTGTTCTGTCTCCCTCCTTGCCTCGATAGCTTCCTAATACAAGAAGGAAGAACATCGCTTCCTTCCTGGAACAATTTTGCAAATTACATAAAAGGGAGGCTCTGGAACAAAGGAGAGAAACTCCTCATGGGCCAGGACGGCCCCATAACGTCCCTGTGTCTACCCGCAGTGCTGGGGACAGACTGGGAAGAAAGCAGGTAGTGTCCATCTCCAAGGATTTGTCTTTGCGGGCCGAGAGGCAGCACAACAGGGAGGGCACCTGACTCGCACGCAGACAGCCCAGGTTCTATCCCTGGCATCACACACACACACACACACACCCTCGGCCCCCACCAGGACTGGTACCTAAGCACTGCTGGGTGTGGCCCAAGATTGAGAGAGAGAGAGAGAGGAGAGAGAGAGAGGAGAGAGAGAGGGAGAGAGAGGGAGGGAGAGGAAGGGAGAGAGAGAGAGGGAGGGAGGGGTCAAGAGTTAGTTGTCTTCTGAATTATTGAATCAATTTGGATGACAGATGTCTGGTAGCAAATGTCTGAGTGGTTCTGAAACTAATGGTGACAGGCTAAGAGCTGCCGCAGCCATTTACCATGGGTGAGTTAAGGACAGTCCCTGCCAGTGCAGTGGGAACAGATGACCGATTGCATGGAGGGTCCCTGTGGTCAGAGACAGGGAAGGCGGTGGGCAAGGTCAGTGGCCAGCCCCTGGTAGCAGCTGGGCAGGACCATGCGGAGCCCACACAGGCACTGGTGGGGCTTTCCAGTCAGGAACTGCATTTGCTGGTGACTTGCAGCAAGGACGGAGAATGGGGATTTCAGTTCTCACTCGAGAGCGAGCTCCGTAGCCCCCGGGAGAGTGGCCAGGGCAGCACATGTGTCCTGGCTGGAATCAGGATGTCTGGAGGAAACCTCAAGCCAGCCTGGGGGCGAGCCTCTCCCCCTCCTGTGCTGCTGTTGACTGGAGGGGCGGAGATGGCGTCAGTGGATGGTCAGCCCCACAGACGCGGAGTGGCAGGGCTGGGTGACCCCGGCAGTGCCCTGGGCACTAAGCGTCCACTCCAGGGCACTGGCTATCCTCAGTGCTCTCCCCTCTGCTGACCACTGTCTCCCGCAGCTGCCTGGTCAGTGCCAGGGAGAAGAGCCGCTATGCCAACGTCCCAGCCCTGGCATGCCCGCTTTGTCTGACTCACAGTGGCCAAGTTCAAGAGATCCAGATGCTCTGAGCCCAAAGTGCCCAGGGTGAAGACAAATGAGCATGAGCACACGTAGTCTAGAACCTTCTTCCACTCAATGGTCCCAACCTCATGACCCTGGCTCTGGTGGTGGCAGCCCGCTCTACCCTGTCACCCATGACCCAAACCTGTGGACACGCTGGGTCTGATCTCTGCCACAGAGACAGTTGCCTCCCCCAGGCCCTCGGTGAACGTTGGCTCTGCCTCCTTTCCCCTTGAACGAAAACCCCATGGGATGGTATCATTATTCAGTCCTTATTCATGAGAAAAAAGAAAGTCCCCAAGGCCCCAATTCAGCCACCAGCAACAGAGAATCCACGTCAGTGAGTGAAACTGGGGATTAATTTGACTCGGGTGCACTTGACTCTGAGGCAGGGGCTGCTGAAGGGGAACAGGTGGCCATGCCCCCGAGGCCTACAGTGCCCAACTCTGTCCACTACATTCACCTGCCACCAATGGTCACCAGCAGGCAGGTCAAGTCCGGCACCATTCCTGCCTCCAGGCTGGGAGGAGAAGTGAGCAGAGCCTGTATAGCCTCCCTCCTCCGCTCTCCCCCTCTTCCTCCCCATCTCTTCCTGCCCCCCCCGTCCCTGGTCTCCTCTCCCTTGATCACCCTCATGCTCCCCCTCTCTCCTCTCCTTTCCTCTTCTTTTGGATTTCTGCCCTTGCCCCCACAGTGCTCGGGAGCTAGTCCTGGCTCTGTGCTAGGAGTGACCCTATGTTCCTCGCGGACAGTATGTGGTGGCAGGGTAAGACCTTTCCTATTGGTGCTATGTCTCGAACCCGGGCCCCCCTCTTTCAACAAAGTGAGATTTGGGGAGTGAGATGCTAGAACTCACCTCCCAGCAGCCCTGAGAGCCACGGGCCAGAGGGGCTTAGAGAAGTCAACTGGGGGTCTCCAGGCAGGAGGAAGGCTGGAGAGACCTGAGGGCTTCCAGAGCTGTTTGTCCGCCCCCCAACATTGCACTCAGCCAAGTGCACGGATCTTTCTAGATTCCATGCCTGTGAAACCAAGGAGATGGTTGCTCTTCTCGCCGAGCCCGGAGGCTCTGGAGGGGGCTCAGCTCACGCGCTGCCCTCTGCCCGGAGGGGTAGCCCCCGATTCCACAGCCGCTGTTTCTTGGCAGGAAGGAGACCAGCTCGGCCCTGAGGACTCTGCTGCTGGCCCCGGCCAGGGGGGTCTGCGGGGTCTGCACAGCTGAGGGGGGACAAGCCCCTGAGCCTCCGATGAATTTCTGCATATTCCCTGCCTTGTCGCTGAGGCAGATACCAAACTTCAAGGCATATTCAAACGACAGTGTCCCAAGGCCAGAGAAATGTCCCCAAAGCACCCACCGGATGTGGCGGGTGAGAACCAGAAGCTCAGCTCCGGGTTACCCACCACGTTTCATCCAGAAGGTAACTCTGAGGTTCCAGCAGCATGTGATGACGCTTGCACCTGGGGAAAGCACGAGAGCCAAGCACTTCTACAGGGCGAGCATTTGCGTGTTTTTCTGCAGGTTACGTGGAGCAGGGATAAGCATGACGCCCACTCAAGGGGGGTTTCAGCTGTAGCTCCTGTCATGGTCTCACTCAAGCTCAGCATTTCTTGGAACCTGTTTGTGTGGGGTCCGGGTGGAACTGTGGATGGAAATGGCCTCTCAGAGAGAGATTTCTGCGTCTACATCTCTGCAAGAGCAAAGACGCTTCAGAGCAGCTCAGAGCCTGCCGGGGAATTTCATCTTTACTCTTTCAACAAGTTCTTTGGGCTGGAGCGATAGCACAGCGGTAGGGCGTTTGCCTTGCACGCAGCCAACATGGCCGACCCGAGTTCGATTCCTCCGCCCCTCTCGGAGAGCCCGGCAAGCTACCGAGAGTATTCGATATGCCAGACACAGTAACAACAAAGTCTCAATGGAGACGTTACTGGGCCCGCTCGAGCAAATCGATGATCAACGGGAGGGCCTTTACTTACTCTTTCAACCAGTTCTTTGGACTTTGTCCCACAGGTATAAGGAAGTGGAAATGTGGGAGTGACAAGGAAAAATCCTACAGGAGCCGGAGTTCAGACAGAGGCTAGCCCAGGAGAACCGGGAGGGTCAGGACCCTGGACAGCTCCACGGGCGCAGCAAGGATCTCCGACCACAAACACGCCCTCTCCCCTCCCGCATCTCACCCCATTCAAGACACATTTCTAGTTTTAAACCAGATGGAGCCTGCCATGTAACTGGAACATTTTGGCTTTCAAACTTCACTCTTACCTGTGGAGCTCTGCCCAACTTTCCCAGTTGTTTCAGAGGGCAGCGAGGGCCCGGGGCTGGTACTTTTCTCTATCCCCATCCAGAGATGCTATTTTTCTGAATGCTTCATGGAATGCCAAGGATGCACTTATTTTGCTCTGCTGAGATCCTCCGGAGTTTTGAAATCAGTGACTTGAACCGAAGAGCAGCAGCCTGAGGCAGCCTGAGAGAGCCTGGCAATGCGACACACAAGCTCTGTGTCAGAGCTGAGGAGAGCATAAGTAGAAGCAGCATTTCGTTCTTTTTTAAAATTTTTTTCAAAAAAAATTTATTAGTGAAACCCCATGAGGTACAGTTGTAGACTTACAAATTCTTGTGCTTGGGTTTCAGTTATACAATGATCGAGTGCCCATCCATCCACCAGAATCCATTCTCTACCACCAATGATCCCAGTATCCCTCCCAGTCCCCATTCTCCTCCCATCTGATAAAGGAAGACCTGAAAGAGAGAAGAGCAGCAGTGCTGGGAGATGTGGCAGAAGCCGGGAAAAGTATTCATAACGCCTGCCTGTCCTTCGCCAACTACAAGACCAAGATGACTGCCCTCCGATGTCCTGATGGATCTATCACATCTTCCAGAAGGGCAATGGAGAAGATTATCTATGACTTCTACTCAGATCTCTTCGGTAGCCACGTTCATCTGCCCACAAACCAAATTCCGCAGGATGGATACGTCATTCCCAATGTTCTCCCTTCCAAAATCTGACACGACATTTTATCAGTAAAGAAATGAACAGCACCTGGCCCAGACAAGGTCAGACCCGAACACCTGAAGAACCTGCCGTCAGTACTCATCAATACACTGGCTTGGCTCTTCACTCGCTACCTGTCTGAATGCAAGGTTCTGTCCCAATGGAAAACTAGCAGGACTGTACTACTGTACAAGAAGGGAGACATCCACGACATTGGCAACTATTGCCCGATCTGCCTATTGTCTGTCATCTACAAGCTGTTCACTCGAGTCATCCTGAATAGGATTGGCAGAATTCTAGATGAAGGACAACCATGCGAGCAAGCCGGGTTCTGCAAAGGATTCAGGACGATCAACCATATCCACATGATAACCAAGCTCATTGAGGTTTCTAGGGAGTTCAAGATGCCACTCTAACATTCATTGATTTAAAGAAGGCCTTTGATTCTGCTGAGATGGAAGCGGTTATCGAAGGCATCCAAACTAATTACATCAGGATTCACTGTGAGCTGTATTATGGATTCACTACCAGGATATCACCATTCTACAAAGAAGTGATCATCCTTGTCAAGAGAGGGGTTTGGCAGGGTGATACAATTTCACTGAAACTCTTCAGTGCCACTCTCGAGAATGTCATGTGACATCTGGAATGGGAAGGAATGGGAGTGAAGATAGATGGTCGGCAACTACACCACCTCTGCTTTGCTGATGACATCATTCTAATAACACCAAACATTAGCCAAGTGGCACAAATGCTGACTGACTTCGACCGTGAGTGTGGAAAGGTCGGACTACAGCTGAATTTTTCGAAGGTGAATCTTACTGTTTCATGAGAAACAGTCTCGCTCCTGATTTCCCATTTGCTCTCAACGGAATGACCATCTCCGAATGCAACAGCTATGTGTACCTAGGTCGAGAAGTCAACATAACGAATGACCTGGCACCTGAGTTGCGCAGGAGGAAGAAAGTGGCTTGGAACGCCTTCAAGAATGTTGAGTAAATAGCTAAGAGGACGAAGAACCTCCGGCTCTGCACAAATCTCTTCGATTCCACTGTTCTTCCTGCATTAACATACACCTCAGAGACCTGGGCCCTACGAAAACAAGATGAGAATGCTATTCGGGTCTCCCAAAGAGGAATCAAAAGAGCTATGATTGGAATATCTCGCTTCACTCAAATGAGAGAAAGAATCCGTAGTTCTGACCTTTGTCGACAGTCAAGAATCAGGGACACTGTCTCATTTGCCAAGGCATCGAAAATCAGATGGGCTGGACACATAATGAGATTTGGAGACGACCGCTGGACTAGAGTCGTTACCGACTGGATTCCATGGGACGTCAAAAGACCATGAGGCCGCCCACCCACGAGATGGTCAGACTTCTTCGTCAACACTCTGAACAATCAGTTTGAGGCTCTTCATGTTCCTATAACAAGCAGATGCCATTGGGCTACACTAGCACGGGACTGGAACGAATGGAGATGTTATTGGCGCCCGCTCGAGCAAATCGATGAGTAACGGGATGTCAAGTGATCAAGTGATCAAGTGATCCCTCCCACCACCTCCCATCCTCCTCCCATCCCACCCCGCCTCTCTGGCAGGGCATTCCCTTTTGCTCTCTCTTTCCTTTTGGGTGCTGTGGTTTGCAATAGAGGTATTGCGTAGCCATCATATTCGGTCTATAGTCTACTTTCAGCCCGCATCTCCCATCCCAAGCGGGCCTTCCTAGCACCCTTTACCTGGTGGTTTCTTCTCTAACTGAGCTGCCTTTTGCCCCAGCATGTGTGGCTGACCTCCAAGCCGTGGAGAGAAGCTCCTGGTACTTGTCTCAAGTATTCTTGGGTATTAGTCTCTTTTTCTGTTACTTTATATTCCACAGATGAATGAATTTTTTCGATGCCTGTCCCTCTCTTTCTGACTCATTTCACTTAGCATGATACTTTCCATGCAGACCACTTGTATGTAAATTTCATGACTTTGTCTTTTCTAACAGCTGCATAGTATTCCATTGTGTAGATGTACCA